TTTTTTTTTGGTGACAACAACCCGAGTTAATGCTAGGGGTGCTGATATGAGCAGACACCACTTGCACCCCCGGGGAAGCTCCATCTATTGGTCTGTGGCACCCGCATGAAGACTTGTACTTATGGGAACAAAGGGAGGAAGTTGAGGTAGTGACTCTCGAGTTCCGTGTTAGTGACTCTCTCGGGTTGTAACTGCCTCCTTGTTCACGTCATGCTGAATACAACTTAAACTTTTGGACTTGTCTTTGATCCTGTCTGATCGTGTGTTTTTCTCACCTCTTCTTCTTCTTCTTCTTCTTCTTCTTCTTTGTCCTCCTTGTCCTCCTCGTCCTCCTCTTCATCTTCCTTGTCCTCTTCTTCCTCTTCTTTTCTTCCTCTTCTTCGTCTTCTTCCTCTTCTTCCTCTTCCTCTTCCTCTTCCCTTCTTCCCTCTTTCTTCTTCCTGCTTGGGAAAGAAACTTCTTCCTTCTTTCTTCTTCCGTCTTGGGAAAGAAACTTCTTCCTTCTTGGGAAAGGAACTTCTTGCTTCTTTCTTCTTCTTTTATTCTTCTTCCTTCTTGGGAAAGAAACTTCTTCCACACTGCTTGTGGGCTGCTAATACTGTCTTCCCACGAACCCAAAACACCTGCATAATGGCCCTATCCGACCGGAAGGATAGGTTGTATACATTCATTATCAGGGTGCGTTATGTTCGGGGGAAGATGGTAGTCAGGGCGATAAGAGCATCCCTTCTTAATAACTCCGGGCTCTTTCTCACCCCTTCTCACCCATCCAGCAATTCTCTCTCTCTCTCTCTCTCTCTCTCTCTCTCTCTCTCTCTCTCTCTCTCTCTCTCTCTCTCTCTCTCTCATGTGTTACTGTTTACTTACAGCAGTCCTAAACAGTAACTGAATTGTTTTTGTTCCCATGTGTTCGGGGAGTCTCAGAATGGGCCTGGGCGCATGGAGCATGTATCTTCCGCAAAATCTTGGAAAGGTACAAGCGCCATATATTTCGTCTTTTTCACATCCTGGAGTGGTGTGGCTATGCCCAATGTGTCGAGCCGTGCAGGATGCTGCCGAGTATGTTCAGTGTGAGGCGGTAGTGAAAGCTTATCCCCCATTTAGGGAGGCAATGCGCAAGCGTCGAGTTGAAGATATGGCACTTGTAATGG